AAAAAAAAAAAAAAAAAAAAAAAAAAATTAGTGTCAGTAGACCTGTAGAGAAAGGCCCAACACTTAAACCACAGATGGGCTGGGGTGTCTTGGAGTCTTCCGGTTCTGGCTCCTCAGAACACATGACCTCAGTCCTCCTCTCCCAGCCCCATCATACAAACAATCCCAACATTGTGAACTTGCAGCAATCCCCACCTCAAAAGACTGGGACCAACTGGAACGGGCAGGAAGACAAAAGACAAAAACAAAACATGACCTTCTCTGAGCTAAGATCACAGCTGAAAAGACAAAACAGAGCCCTATAGGGCTCCCAGAGAAGGCCGGGAAGCTTCATGTTTGATTTTCTTTGTCCTTTGAGGAGACTGTGCTTTTCCTTGTATAAATAGAAAAAAATGGCAGATCTAAGACTAGGACCTGGGAGTGTTGAAACTTAGCCCAGGGCTAAGAAATAACAGTAAAGGCACAAAAGTAAACCCAGGGGCAAGAGAAACTTAATCCTTTGTGTATTTGAAACAGTTTGATTAATTTTAAATCCCTCCTACTGACTGCCAAAGGTTCAACTGAGATTCCCTGGAGAGAGCAAAAATCCAAATTATCTCAATCTCCAGAGACTTTGGAAATAAAATGTCATTGGTGTCTGCTCCCCCTTGATCTCTGAAATTATCCTTGAACTTTAGGAGCACTTTCCCTAATCAAGCATCTCCATGATATCACGGTTCTAACCTGATCAAGTGATCTGGTTAATCCTCTCCCTGCTTTGGGGGTGCTGGCAAGTTCCTAAGGAGGCTGGGACTCGTGCTAGGCTTGCCTTGGCATGTGAAGAAAGCTAAGAGGTTTTGAAACAGATCTGGAGCAAGGTGTTTGCTGCCAAGGCCCAGAGGCTCTTCCGACAGAAGCAGGTGGTCGGAGCAACAGCTATAAAATAAGGGATGTTAAGGGAAGATACCAGTGAGTTGAACCTCACCTTCTCAGTTAGCTGACACTTGTACCTTCCATAAAGAGGCACAAGGATACCCAGAAAGAAATACCTTACATTTGCAGAATGTTCATAGCTTTTCAAGGCACTGTGAAGTGAGGTCCGTGTTACTTCTCTCATCTTCAAGATGCGGGACAAGTGCAATTTTTCACAATAAGCAGATGAGAACAGTGAGCACACCTTAGCATTCTCTTGCTTAGAGACACAGAACTAAGGAGTAACAGACCTGGGCCAAGAATCCTGACCTCCCAACATCTGGAACTGTCTTCTTTCCATGCTGACACTTTGTAGTGCTGATAGATGTTTCATACTACTAGGCTAGCCTAAAACAAATACAACATTAATGACAAAAACTAATGGGAAAATGAGAGAGTGGGATGTGAGATGGGTGTGAAACTCAGCTCAATCGTTCTTTTCATGTTCTATTCTGGAATGCTTTAACACACATAAGAAGTAGGGAGAGACTGTAATCCTAGCACTCTGGGAGACCAAGGCCAGTGGATTGCCTGAGCTCACACGTTTGATACCAGCCTGAGCCAGAGCGAGACCACATCTCTAAAAACAGCTATTTGGGAGGCTGAGGCAAGAGAATCACTTAAGCCCAAGAGTCTAGGTTGCTTTGAGCCGTGATGCCACAGCACTCTACCAAGGGCCACAAAGTGAGACTATCTCAAAAAAAAAAAAAAAAAAAGAAGAAGTAAGGAGAATAGTACAATAAATCCCTATCCCCCAAACCCGGCCACAATGATCATCAACTTGTGGCCACTTATATGAAACCCACTTCTTTAAATTCCACTGGTGCCCAGAATGCTAAACT